CATTAACTTTTTTCATAATTGCTAATGCCCTTTTCTCGAAACTATTTGAACAGATCCTAAAACTCTGCATCCTTTCCGCAAAACCTAACATCCGATTTCATTGCCCACAGTACGAAAAGCGAAACGCGATTTTCATATCTTTACGTACCTTTTTTGAAACTTAACGCGCGGAAAAGGACAAGAAGACCGTTTCGACGAGTGCGGACGATGGATGCATGGCTGACAAGTGCAATCGCTATCCTCCAAAACTCCTTCCGACCAATCCCAGAGGTTTCCTCATCGCCCTGAGTTGTCAGAGCTGAATGTTCCTTCTCAAACGTTGAAATGGTTTCTTACGTCGATACTGCAATGTATTTGGCAGGCAATAATGCTGACTGCTTTTCAAAAAAATCCGAAATATCCGATCCTGCGTATTTTTTTAAACAATTAATTTCTGTTATAATAAAATCAGCTATAAACGGTTGAAAAGGGAGAAAAGAAAAAGTCATTTATGGTTATTTCTGTTTGTCGTAACTAAGAAAAGAGTGACGAGGTTTGCGATTCTCATGTAAGGTTTTGAAAAAAGGTCCATGAAGATATGAAATAGGGCTCTAGCAATTGGGAAAAACTGTAATATTCCTCGTATGACATTTATTTCGTACCGTATAGTAAATGAATAAAAATGCGAGAAATTGCTGCATAGAGAAACAATAGTCATATGAAATATGTCATGCTTCACGTCGTCACTGCCCTCCATTAAATGATACCTATCCGCTAACGGTATGAGATTGGAAAATATGTAAAACGAAAATGGTACATTGACCGGCTTAAAGCATTTTCTCAATGATGCAAACCGAATGTGATGGATTCATACTCACTTGGGTCTACGTATATCCATGTGCCTTCCACGAGTTCGTCGGTGGCACCTTGCCAGATCGTCCCACCGGTGACACTTCTGATCGCTTTGTAGACTGTGGGGCTCGTGTCGGAAGCGAGTCGGGCCCCATCCAGGCAGCAGACCTGACTCGCATCATTCCAATTCATTTCCCTTGGGTAGTACTTGTAAAACCGACCATCTTCTTGAAACAACTTGTAACCTTCTGCCAGAGGAACTGCGATCGAAGCAAGTATTTAAAAATTGGTGACTGAATGAAAAATGTCTCAAAATCGGGAAATGACGCCAACCGCTTCCCGGGCAGGGCGGCGTGACGTCTTGATTCGGGATTTTCCACGTGTTGAAGGCAACGCATGTGGCCTTGAGAGGACAACGGGAATGCCGCGGGCAGTCATATGAGACTTCGGAGAGCAAAGGCGCCGGGAGGATGCCATTCCATCCGTACGAGAAATTCATCGTTCGATTCTCCATCGAAGGAGGAGGTGTCAGGCAACCACTGAATGCTACAAAGGCTGAATTGGAAAGGTAGAATCACATCCATGAAGATAAAATATTATTATGATGGATTGAAATGATGTAAGCTCACCACTGACATAGACCATCGCACCAGGGGCATCTTGTAACGTGGCATTTAGAGTGTTCACGAACTCACACTTGAAATTTCTTGGATACCAGTTGAAGGCATTGCAAATCATTCCAAGAGAATGGCAAATGGAGCCGCAATCCACCGCGTTCATCGCCTTTACTACATCCTTCCGAGTTCCAGCAAGAGGCCACAGTTTCGCGCCTTGTTTCAGCAGATGAAAGGCAGTTGATTGGACATCTACGAGAGAAACACCACCTTCCCCTGCAATATGTACACTAGTCTCCACCTGAAACTTCGGGTCGGTCTCCTCCATATCCATCCTGCACATAACAACATCCAAGCGACTTTTCTTGGAGTCGATAATGTAATAACCAGGATGAGCGTTTCCAGCTTGGCGAAGGGTTGAACAGGATTGTGCTGGATTAACCGGGGGAGTAACCTTGCCATGGAGAAAACCTGCCGTGGCAATACGTGCATTGGTTTCTACCTGAAACTTCGAATCGGTCTCCTCCAAATCCATCCTACACATAACAACTTCCAAGCGACCCTTCTGGGAGTTGACCAAGTAATAGCCAGTGTGAGCGTTTCCAGCTTGGCGAAGGGTTGAACAGGATTGTGCTGGATTATCCGGTGGAGTAACCTTGCCATGAAGAAAACCTCTCCCGGCAATACGTGCATTGGTCTCTACCTGAAACTTCGAGTCGGTCTCCTCCAAATCCATCCTACACATAACAACTTCCAAGCGACCCTTCTGGGAGTTGACCAAGTAATAACCAGTGTGAGCATTTCCAACTTGGCGAAGAGTTGAACAGGATTGTGCTGGATTAACCGGGGGCGGAATCTTACCTTTGCAAGTCAATCCACCCAATGTGTAATTCGCTTTCTGTCCCTCAAATTGTAGTCCACCGAAGCGCAACTCGGTTATGGGTAATGCGGTCGCATTCGTTATTGCTCCTGAGTCTGATTCCCAATGGGGGAGTTTTGCATCACAGTTGCAAGGGAAGTTTGTGTCTGTGCAGTTGCCAGAGAGACCGCAGTTGCATTTGTGCTGTCCTGATTTTGACCCGTCCCAGTAGTATTGTGGCTCGCCGTGACGGTCCACCCAACTTGCATAGTGTATGACTCCAGTTGTGAGGGCCGAGGAAAAACAGTCATACTGAAACGAGTCACGGTCAATGCTGAGTCGGATACATCTACAACTATGCGAAGTTAGAAGTACTCTCTAGTCACTATTCTGGTTTGCACTAAAAGACAACACTTAGGATCCACAGACGTCATTGTGTCCTACTACATGATCCTCCGTGTATTCTATAATTATAAAAACTTGATGACATCTCCCCTACTATTGATTACATAGTTCAGCAAGCTATCGAATCCCTGAGCGACATATTCAACAATTATTATTGAGAATTAAACTTCGCTCAAAGAAGAACGCACTTGAATGCAGATGCTTGTTTCCGGATATGATTTTGAGCAATATTCGGGAGATGTGCATGTACTGGCAGCATCATTTAATTCTAGTGAATTTCTACACTTTCAGGGAAGCAAACTTGCAGCGGTCGCACCTTCATTCGGTTCCATTATCCAGAGTAGCAATCAATTTATTATTTCATTTTCGTCACATATTGGTTGTATGACGATAACTAAGAAGGATATTGGACAGATTAGCGCGAAAATTCTCAAACGGTTAGATAGATGAACAGGATACCGGAAGGGCTCGTTTTATGGCAAATTCTGCTATTTTCGTCACATATTGGTTGTATGACGATAACTAAGAAGGATATTGGACAGATTAGCGCGAAAATTGTCAAACGGTTAGATAGATGAACAGGATACCGGAAGGGCTCGTTTTATGGCAAATTCTGCTCAAAAATTGGCACTCTTTTTCCGAGACTTGGCCACGGAGAAGATGGAATGAATATCAGTTCGCCCTTCAGGTTCTTAACCACAATGCCCATGCGATCGCGATCAAGGCTTTCGTTGCCGAGTCGTGTCAGCAACCAAAGCAGCCAGTTCCCTCTAACAACATCCGTAGCGGATGGATCTAGCCGGAAACAGCCCTTCCGTCTCCTATCATTCTGGTTTGCCTATGTTTACCAAATATGAATAAGAAATGGGCTTTTGATAGTCGAAGACCGAAAAGAGAAGGTATTTTGTTCAATTAGGCGTAAAATGACGGTTTTCCCTCATTTTAAAGGAGGCCCATAAAAGGAGGCCCACTACTGGACAGGGCTTGCCCAACTTCTTCTGTAATTAACGTGTTAAGCTTCACATTTTTTGAAAGGATGAGATAGTATGTTTTCTTGAAAATTTGTTAATGGTAATCTGTGGCTTATGATAAAAGGACATAATAATACAAACTCCCTAGACGACAGGATCGACTCACTGTGATATGCTGTTGGCACGTCTTCGATTGCTGTATCAATGCCACCATCTGTTTCATCGGTGAACCATACCTTATTTTGTGATTGTAGCATCCAGGATGAGCACATCGATCGATCGCCGTGTTTTCCATCGAATCATGGAGGACAATCGTGGAAACTGGATCTAGATAGCACCATAGTTGAGAGAGCGTGAGCTGGGAAAAAAAGGAGATTAAATTATTTTTGCGAATGACAGAAAGATTGTTTGTTTCAACTACCTGACTCCATATCACAGAGCACTTTGATGGGTGCATCGCCGATCGAAACTCCGTCAGGATCCACGAGGTATTCTCCTGTCCGTGTCACCCCCAAGTCTGCAAGCGTCTGACACATTCGGGGTGCTGTGAGAAATGTATTCATAATATTTCAGACCTCTGCTGGAAAAACGGACCTAAGAGCAAGGACTTATGAAAGAAGACGACACCTTAGAGCCATTTATACAGAAATTTTTTTTAATTCGGGTAACGACTGCATGTCATATCACTGCCTTGAATATGCAATCGGCTGAAGCGCTACAGTCACCGCTGTCTGAGCTGTCCAGTAGATGCGGGCGTGTTAGTCGTTATTAGGCGATTCTAGCAATGAAATGAGTCTCTTATAAGGAGCAGCACATAATAACGAAGTTTCTATCAGTAGAAGACCAAATATGAGTTAGCGCAGAGCGCTCTCTCTATTCGAGAACGGTGTTACATGGCAACGAGACTTTGATTCTTGTGCATATACCCGCGAAGCTCGTGAGAGCGCATAGAACGTCAAAAAACTACGGGGTGTATGAAAAGTCACTCCCTATTTTTAAGTTGTTCTTGCTCCTAAACCAAAGGAGATATTAAAACATTTCTTTAACTGAATTGAAGCTTATTTTTTACCGTTCACTTTATAACAAAATTGAAAAGCTTTATTGCAAAGTTAAAATTCAACGTTGGCTCCAACATTGTCATCGCACTTCTGTAACCTTACCGGTACATTTTCAACAGATTTTCTCAAGAAGTCACCTGGTGCATTGTCTAGAATATCACGAATTTTGTTTTCAAGAAATGGTCCTTGGTTTTGATTTTTAAACTAATTTTTTCGCCCAGCCCCACAGAAAGAAGTCGCACGGCGTTAAATCTGGACTTCGAGCAGGCCATCCCGTTGGCCTTCCACGACCTATTAAATTAAGTCGCTCGTTCTTCTATGCTTAATCTTTCAGCCATTATTCACTTATAATAGAAATGGTAATGATTAATCTTAAAACAGTGAAAGAACGGTTACAATACCTCCTTCATTTTAGGAGCAATAGCAATTTAAAAAGAGGGAGTGACTTTTCAGACACCCAGCGACTTAGAAGAACTGCGCGCACGGTACTGGAGAATTTTTGGTGACAGTCGCTGTCCAATAAACCAGACATTCTTGGATGTGATCGGGCATGCTGTGGATAATAGAACAAACAATGCTATGCCATTAGCTCTGCAAAATATTTCATCATCATTTGATGCTTGTCGACTATATGATTAAAGGGACTTTAAGTCTCCACTCACTTATTTGCAGGCTAATAGCCTCCAGATATTGGAGTCTTCCTTCCGTGGTGTTCAGTTGAAGCTGAAGTTTGTCTCTTTCCAATAGATGTTCCTGGAAGCTAGACTTGAGGTTTTCGTGCTCTTTTCTCATGTTCTCGCAGTCATTCCCCAGCTTCCCAGTAGCGTGCCTGATGTTCTCAAAGTCATGCTTCAATATCTTGTAGTCGTCCCTGAGACTGACCAGTTGCTCATTTTCAGATTTCAGTTGTGAGACTTGCTTTGCAAGTTCTTGAGTTTTAGCCTTTAGAACTAGCACTATTTCTTCCAATTTGCCTCCAGTATTTTCCCGTCCATGGACGGGAGTGCTTTCGAGTGCCTGGGAAATCAAACCATGATTAAATATGTTTTCATCGCAAGAATGGCTTCAGGTTAAAACCAATGAATAATTTATTATTTACTCTGAACTCGAAAATCGCAATCCTCAGGAGCAAAAAACAGTTTTTTTTCACTACCCCAAAAGCAAGAAAGCCGGAAATTACTCCAAACGTTTTTGAATTAAATATGACAATTTCCAATGTCTTCATTACAATCGTCCACCTTTCGTTTATTTCGAACGTCATTCATGCCCTTCTTCACGGAAATCCATAAGCGGGAGGCGTATATCACCATACTATTAAATGCCGGTAGGAGAGTTTGATAACGGATGAGATTCGACTTACTTTTCCAGATCCATACTCGATTAAAAGGATCTGTGAAAACAGTAGACATGAAATTCCCCTCATATTGATGCACAACTTCCTTGACTTGTTTTCAGGTCTGAAATGAAAACGGTAGGTACACTAGTTCAGAATCGTTGCTTCTTGGTGTTTCCAAATTTAAATCCAACCTGAATAAAGTTAACTGATGAAAAATTTTCATAAGTCCATGTGCAAAAAAAAATGTGTAAGCGTCTGATAATGTTGTTACTTCCTTTGGGCGAAGAGTTGCTCAAAAAACTTTTTGCTAAGTGTAGAAAGTTTTTTGTTCATGCATGAGACATACAGTATTATCATTAGGCGGAAACAACCAGGTTCTTATCTTTCTATATTAAGAAAAAAACATTTTTTAGGGAAAGAATAGACATTTGATTTGGGAAAAAAATCCCATAAACTAGTCACAAATATTTTCTTAGCAAATAAAATAAATTCTCGCAAATCACGTTTGCGATTCTCTTTTGGTAAATGTTAACGAACCACCATCCTTCACAGAAAGGAAGCCCCAACATCGACCCTTGAGACACACAAACACCAAATTCCTGTCGCAGAGACAATATTATCAGTTACTCAAAGACAACTCTTGGCTGATTCTCGACGCTTGCGAGATGGAAGCATGTAGGGGACTGGAAGGCAGTCTGTAGTCGGAGGGATCTCAAGGACAAGCTTCGATACGTATATCTTTGAACGGAACAGGCACCCAAGGCCAGAATTCCATTAAACATGACATGACATACTTGTCAAACATGACATACTTTTTGAAAGACAGTGTACACGCGCCAAGGCCCATTCCATGCGGAGTCTTGTTTACTGCTCATCCTATATTGAATTTGTCTTATTTGCTCTGTGTACACGGGACGTTCAGCCTCGGTTCGTGGTACCTGAGAGGAATCGGCATGAATATATCTCAAACTCTCATTTCGCTTTCTCTTATGATCATCGACGCGAGCTCATTTTCTGGCTGTTTCAATGTCGACGTCTTTGTGGCATGATGAGAGAACAAACGGAGCCCCGCGCAAATTGCAAGAAATTACAATTTAGCAATTTCCAGATTTTACCGGAGATGCTTCATACGCTGAAGGTAGAATAGAAAAGGAGCTACAACAATTTTGTATCTTAATTTTCAATAGGGACCTGATACAAGACGCATTAGGTGGACATATAAAAGCATCCCTTCTCCGGGAACGGATATCCTGACCACCAAACCCGTTCATGACCGATAATGTCCAAGGGCGAGACGCCCTGATAAATAATCTGGAACGGAAAACCTCTTAGGCTCCATCCGGGAAGACCCTGGGACAAACGGAGGAGTTGAAATACGTCGAAAGAGAGGAAATAGGGGGATAGGGAGAGCAGGAGAGAGGAGCAGGTTGTGGGGTGGGGCGGGGATCAAGTAGAGATTTGCCTGTGAGACGATTTTCCTATGTCCCTGGAATTGCGTCTTTTGCTCCTCCATTATTTTATTTCATTATTCTTTTTCCTTTTTAAAATTTTGAATATTAATATAAATGTGTAATTATATTGAAATTCCGATGGTGGATTTTCTTTCCTCAAATTGCTGTGCCGAACCCGCGATTACCTAATAACACCACAGTCGTGTGTTGACTAGGGATCGTTACCAATTCATTACGTGGCACAATACGTACAATACGTGTAGGTAAGAAAAAAATCCAAAACGAGTTTGCACATCTACAAAGAAATTAGAAAGTAAATGGGCTAAATCGCCGATGAAAACTACTTAATAAACCAGAAGGAGTACTAAAAGTGCTGCTTTGGTTTGACATTTATTTTTGCGTTCATTATTTAATGGAATTTCGGGCGCCTTCATTAGCCTTGTTCTGGAATTTATTGGCGACTAGCTAGTCAATTCCTTCCTAGAAAATGTCCAGTTTCAGAATTTTGAACCCGCACAGGCGTTTTCAATTCTCATTACAGTACATGTGAGTGTCCTAAACGTACCCGCCGAAAAAGCGCCAGGAATCAATCGACCCATTTGGAGTGGAGCATTTTATGGCAAGAAGAAGCTTTGCACTGAAGATATCGGCGGAGACAGTTGAATAGTTGAAGGCATGAAATTGATGCATTAGATAATTCCGTGGCTATGTGTCCAGCTTATGATGCATTTCGGCCTGCTTCTCCTTACTCTACCCATTATCCGCTGCCCCGTGGGGAGTGGAGGGGGGATTAGTAGGTATTCAATCAAAAGCCAATGGGATTTAGATCGTCAGTACAGATATCGAGTTCGCCAACACCTTTAATACAAATATTTTGCTTGCCTGTCTCATCTCCGAAATCCTCGAATTACGACACCTCGGTGGGGGAAACGATGCGTGCATTGAGATCGGCATTAAAAATATTTATTCATCTGATTTTTTGACACCATCAAGGAATCTACGATTTTCTTTTTTTTATGTGAATTCTGAAAGGCTAGGAATAACACTGAACATTTTGTGATAAAACTCTCGAAGAGGAACGCACGAAAGCGGATTTCTTCCCAGAGGAGCGATTGTTTCCTGAATCTACAATTTTCTTTTTTTCATGTGAATTCTGAAAGGCTAGGAATAACACTGAACATTTTATGATAAAACTCTCGAAGAGGAACGCACGAAAGCGGATTTCTTCCCAGAGGAGCGATTGTTTCCTCCATTCCTTCCAAAAGACGACATTTGTTCTTTCCAATTCCTCTTCCACTTTGAAAGTCGAACTATTTCCTATTCATCCTCCCTCCATCCTCCTAGTCAGAGTTGTCTGGAGACTCCTTGAAACGGGTTTGCTCGTTAGACCAATTTGTCTTTCAAGTTCTATTTCAATTACTGCAGTGCCTGTGAAGAGAGATCAGGGGTGGCAGAGTGCAAGGGATTAATTAAGGGACGACTGCAGCTGCATCGTCTTTGGACTCGTCATAGTGGCTAGTGTTGCGACATCCATCGTCCGTAGTGCAAAACGTTTCAAGCCACCGATGGAAGGATAATATTTTAAAGATGATTTCTCCTTTACGCTTTAATGATCTGCATCGTCTATGGACTCGTCATAGTGGCTAGTGTTGCGACATCCATCGTCCGTAGTGCAAAACGTTTCAAGCCACCGATGGAAGGATAATATTTTAAAGATGATTTCTCCTTTACGCTTTAATGAATGACCGTCAAGAACATCGAAGAACAGTGAGAAAACCTCTTTAAACACTGGTTGATCCATCTCGAGAACGTTCATGGGCCTTATGTGTTTAAAACATTGGATCGTCTTTTCATTCCCAAGGAATCTCTCCAAAATGCATTGCCTAATTACCATCAAAGTCTCCATGCAAATATACGAAGTGTCAGAAGCAAATTCACAGCTCAACCAGCACAAGCAAGTTGGTTTTTCCTCCAGGGTCCATTCCACCCAGAACGACAGTTACAGGGTTAAACCTGGTAAAAGAGATAATGGAAATTGATTCTCATTCTCCTCCGGCGACGCACCAGGTGGAAGCCGCAGGGAAACTTCCGAATCTCGTGCGGAAGCGCTGCGCCGAGTCGGAGAATGAATGGGTGAAATGCGTTTCGTCCAGATTCCCATCCATGCAAATTTGTCCTTCGCGCAACCTGTACAAAAGTCTCACCGGTTATTCACAGTTGAAGCAACGTTGATTCACCGGCGAATCAACAGCGGGTGTTGAAAAAAAAAGAAACCGTCCTCTGACAGTTTGGGAGAGGGGAATCCCCGATATTTATCTGATGCTTATGGGTTCGTTCCCTCTAGCACCTTCGCGCTTGTCTTTGTTATCCTTGTGAGACGCGGTTGAACGGTGCTATTCCCCACATCTCTCGGTAGCCGTCATGACCGCAAGTCAGTCTCTCCCAGTGTCAGTAGTTCAGCTTGAAGATGCGCAGTGATGTGAATTGGTTCCTTTGACGTTAGGCTAGCTTATCTCAAGATCTGTGAACTTTCAGCTATTCAGCCAGGTAAATGCTAATGTAAAATGCATTAAGAATTCTGAGACTAATAATCATGGGTGTTATGATTAACATTTCTCAAACATAGCCTCAGTGTTAATCCATCAAGCCGGTCATTAAACGAGGCGGTAATACATCCATGAGATGTCATTGAAGTGCAATACTGTACCATACTAGACGTCACTCGCGTCTTTCCGCCGGAGTAGATACAAGGATTCCAAAGCAGAAATCACAGTGACGACGAACCCACTTAAAGGGTTAATGTTACACCTTTCATATAAGGCGAGAATCACAGCAGAGTATTTCCATGATTGATATTGCTTCACCTCCATTTCGTTGCTGAAATCACTTTTCACCGTACATTTCCATAAATTTTGCTTTAAATAAATTATTAATAATATATTATAATAATTATATCTCAATGTTTATTAGTGTTGAACCCCTCCTAAATAGATGTTCAAAATTGGTGATTCACCGGTGAATCAACGATGAATCACTGTTGATTTACCAGTTTCAATTTCAACATGCTGAAACTTTTTCTGTACGGGAAATTGCTTTCGATTTCCCCTTTCACTCTACGCCCGCCGTCGATGTTAATTCTCATCGGTGAATTGCCCTCGATTCACCGAAGAATCCCACGTTCGTCAACTCATCGAGCCACAAATTCGAAATTCGATTTTTGGTCGTGGATCTTTCTGAATCATAGTGTTTCCTCGTCCTTTCTTCAGTCTGTTGTCAAATAATTCACGCAATTCTCGATTCCAGACAAAATAAAAATACGGCTTGGATCAGGGGGATTAGTTTCGGTATTGATGAAGTGGAAATACTAGCGTGGTTTTTTGGTTTTGGGTCTTTTATCTTAACGGCAGAATAGAGAAGCTGGCATTTCGTGCCTTCGAAAATTCTCTTGAAAGGAGAGGAGAATGGACGAACATTTTATATTCTTGATGGATCAATCACTGACACGTTTAGGTCCGAATTGCGAGACGAAAAAATGTCTCCGCGGGGTCACTTGGAGCTGTAATCCTTCATACCGACATATCGATTGATTCGATTATTAATTGATCTGTTTTATCGATTATCAATTGATCTGTTTGATCGATTATCAATTGATATGTCTCCATCTAGGTTGGACTTTGTCAACAAATTCAAACCTTCCTCATTTCTTAGAAGAAAAAAAAAACCCTGTAGCCAACAAGTACGAATCGACTCTTCACCTTAACCATCATTAAACAAAAATATTAATTTTCGAAGGAAATAAAGAAGACACTTAGTTTAAGAAAAGTTTTCGTTCCGATAAATGATTATTCAGAAAAATCAAATCAATCACGGCAATCCCTATATCTCCTTGCAGGGATTTCTCTATCCCGGATTTTTCTCTTTCCAGGAAGACTAGTGAGGCGAAATTCGTTCATAGCGTAGCATTCATTGTCACGCTAAAACCGCTGCAATTCCAATCATCATCAACATATCTCGTCTGATCGAGGTGAGCCGAGTTCCCTCTAAATGTGCCCTCACTTCTTGAGGCGAAAGCGCCTAATGCTCCGGGATCTCGGATAGGGCTTGCAACATAAGCACACGGGTTTGAAAGCCGGGTCCCCAGCCTTGAGGGTGAAGAACCGACCGAGCCAGATCCCGGCCGCGTTTAAGGGAGACTCTCCCACGCGACGTCAAGAGGATGCGCTTTCCTGAACTCGTCTTCCGCGCACGTCAATGAGGCTGCTTATTGCCTTGTCCCACATGACGAAAATCGAGATTCGGGTAAGAAAAGACCGAAAACGGATTAATGCGACCAGCGGATCGATGAAAACATGCAAAGGTTAAAGGAAATTTCCGTGGGATCATCTGTAATTTATTCGTCGATGAGAGAAAATTGGCATCGGCAC